TTTTGGGGTGGTTATTGTGTGTGTTTTAAGGGGGGCGTGTTTTTTTTGATGTGTTAGGGGGTGGGGGGGGGGGGGAGGGTTTGCACCCAAAGGTCTGTGTGTGTGTCGTCGTGTGAAGACAGGCAGTGGCATGCACCCCGTCACCTTCTCATCGTCCGACTGCTGTGCATGGGGGTTCGGCTAAATCGGCACGTGGTCTTGGTCATGGGAGACGTGAGGGCGTCCCCCTCGCCTCCAAATTGCCTTACGGTGGTCACGGTGGGCGAACATGTGCTGTTTTGGTTTTTGCAGGACAGTGAGGGTGCACAGCCACTGAACCTGTCGGCCAAGCCTAAGGCATCCGAGAGCAAGTCACCCAACTCCCCCCCAACTTCCCCACAGGTTCCTGCTGCCGCTGCCGCCACCACCAAGCTGGGTCCCGCCGGCTCCATGAAGCACAGCGCCGTGCCCTCCAGCATCGGAGCGCCATCCACCAGAGTCAGCTCAATAGGTAAGAACATTTAACTAGCCTGTACAGTAGCAGAGCACTGGAGACTAAAGACACGCTAGTAAGGGGCTAAAAGATCCACTTTTTACTTCCCATACCGACATCAATATGAGGTTTAGTTGGCTGATACCGATCAGATACAGAACAACTGCTGTGTGTTTATGTACAAATTTATTTTATAACTCGGCATCAGTACAGCACATTTAAATTGATTAATAACTTTACAAGCTTTGTTCAAATATGCAAAAACAACTTTCATTTGTTCAATCAGTGAAATTAGGAGAACAACAGCCAATGTAAAATAAATAAAGTTAAACTGACAAAATCAAAAAGGTTGACTATCTTGGTCAAACTAAAAATAAACTGCAACAAATCTTTTAAATGGTTCAGAAAGTGGAATTAGAAATTCTAAATATAATGTAAAATAAATAATGAAGCTCAGAGCACAAAGCGTAGAATTAGACTAAATAGATCTGCACTTATGGGTTTGGCAAATTGTCACTGGTGCCAGATTTTATTTTAGGGATAACAGGGAACACAGTTACTTTTTAACAGTTTATTGACATGAAAAATATCTAGCTGAGTCTACTTCCATCAGTAACAACTTCAACACTTACGAAGCTTTTTGACCAATTAAAACGTCCCACTCCGTCTCTAAACAAACTGTAGATGTACAAGCTCAGTTTCTTAAGCTGCAAACATTTTTACAAGAAATATACATTGCCATGAGTGGAAATCTCAAAGTTTTTAAGAAAAAGTGTTTCTATAACAACAAGAACAGTATTTTTTTTTCTAGCAGTACTGTGATGACAGCACCATAATCCTTCCTAACCACATGCTCACATAAAGAAAAAAATGACAAATGAATCACTATTTTTTACTCCTAATCCATTTTTCATGCAGCACTGATAGTTCAAATATTACACATATGTAACAGGCTATAATTAGTGTTTGTGTTGTTCCTCCGTGCTGCTATTTGCCTGCAGGGCGGCTTCATTGTTATGTGTTTATTAGTGACTGAAAGAGACAGAGAGAGACATAGGAGAGAGGAGAAGGGAGGGAATGGGAGAGAGAGAGATGAGGATTAGTGTTTCCTTTTTTTTTTCCAGAGCAATGAAGTGGGGGAATAATAAAGAGAGGAGTGGATGACAGACAGAAGGTATCACCAATGAGATTAGACAAGCCTCTTACATGAGCCAGGACAGCGCAAACACCCAGCATACAATACCAGCACACACACTCAAACTCACACAAAGCCTCACACACAATCCAACCTCCTCCTCCTCATATGCAGTTAAGTCAGTTTTTTTTTTTTTCCTGACATTCTGGCTAATCTCACTGTTTTTCAACAAATCGGCGGATTTAATATCAGATTAGTGGATTTTCGGTCCCAGATGTTTTTTGTTCAGAAAAATGGATTACAGTGTTTAAGTTTGTGTGCGATCCTGGCTGAATTATGTGTGCGGCGGTGGAGGCCAGATCCCTGATACGCAGGAGCTCATTGTTCCATCTGTTGCCGCTGAGTTTCAGGCGGTCAGGAGCGCCGCGTTCCGGCTCATTGTATTAGGATCCGTTTTACAAGTTCAGAGTGGACAGACAAATTGGAACGGGGTCCAGAGGTGGTCGTTTTGATTTGCAATCTGTTTGAGGAAGAGAGAGGGGGGCGCAGATTAGGAGGGCCTTTAGGGGTTATTCATATTGAAACTGGAATCAGAATGAAACCTGATTAAACCCTTCTGAGTGCAGAACACATTTAATTTTTCATCAAGTTCTTTTTCAGACCGCATACGTCTTATAAGATCAGAGCTTTTTAACCCTGATGTTTGTTTGTTTATATGTAGCTGGTGGAAAACTACAAGTAAACAATTTCCACATTTTAATGTCATTTAAACAAAGATGAAATAAAATGTAGATCAAAATTTGTAGTTTATTTCTAGAGTTGCTAAAAGAAAAGTCTTGTTACCTCATATGCACAAACTTTAATAACAAATTTAGCAAAACTTTCTAATTGCACAAAATTTTTCTTTTGTCGTTCTGGTCTTCACAGAGCAACACAAACTGATAATTGGTGGTTAATTAGTCAGGCTGTCTGCTCCTAGAATGCTAACTGTAGGTTTAAAACTATTAGTTTTACATCTTTTTAAACCATGTTGATCTTTTCTTGCTGTCATTCCCAGAAAATATAGATTTTTTTTTCTAAATTTAAATCAATCATTAAAAAGCTGAGGAACTATTGTAACTAAGCTAAATATCACGTTAAGACATCTGCTTAAAACTTTAACACTTTTCAACTTAACCCAAGCAGATGCTTTTGCTTTGTTGCAACACATTTAGCATTCAGTAAACCTAAACATGAACCCAGATATAAGTGTTTCGGTTTGAGAAGACCTTTCCACCTGGAGGAATGTTTCTCTCTTTCCATCTGTCCATCTTTCTCTAACCAGACAGAGACGTAGGCGCCACTGTCACACATTTGTCTCAGTCCACAGAGTGAACAACTGAAGTCCCCCAACTTGAACGTTTCCTTATGAACGTACTGCATGCATCTGCAGAGAAGAGGGAAAAAAAAAACAGAACTTGTGTTATCGCAGTGCGGGAGAGCAGAAGACGTCCCCTCCAACCTTTCCCTCCTTTTATCTGGGTCACATTCACTCGTCTGGTCTGGATGGTTGTCATTTCTGTCAGTTGAAGCAATCACACAATCATGTGTGTGCAGGAATTTCTATCAACCCCCCTGCTGCCTCTTCTTTTGACTGCAGATTAAAATTGACTGCCACCCAATTCTGTCACCCCCCCCACCTCCTCATCTCTGTTCTCACTCCTCTGTCCTGCCTCTGATCCCGCACCCTCTTTTTTGTCGGGCTCCACTCCCGTCCAGATTTTCCGGTTATGACTTCTGAAAGAGTTCACGGCTCTGTCATTACCAATCTGAAGCTGATAATCTGGTCCGAGATGGCATTAGCGGCGCGGATTAGCGCAGATAAAGGCCTCATAAAGCAGCAGCGGCTCTTTGTTAAGAACCAACCGGACCGATGGGGAGCGGAGATAGCGGCGCCTCACATTCTCACACATGCAGAATAATAATAAGAGGCGCCTCTGCTGACTGTAACGCTGCTTACAGCGTTCTGTTGAAGGGGATGAGATTGCTGGGGCAAACTCTGACTCACATGCTCCACTCAGCTGCAAAGTGGTCAGTCGCTTTGAGTGTTTTCAGATAGATATATAAAACACACACACACACACACGCGTGCGCGCCCTGGTAACCTCCCCTCATCAACTGTATGTTAATGCCTTTACCTTATGGTTCAGAAGAAGATTTGTTCCAGATGAGAACCTTCAAAGTAAACACTTTGGAGTGTTTATCCAATAATAATAATAAAAAAGGCTGTTCTCTTTTCTTTTTTTTTTTTTTTGCTGTTAATACTCAATCTGAATTTGTGCTTATGAAAAATAAAGCAGCTGAACAGGATGGCTAACAGATTGTCCCTCCCGTCTGCGTCTCAGCAGACTTGTTGTCTTCGTTGTCGTCGACAGCCTACCTGAACGACCACGAGGCGGTGAGCAAGGCCTTCGCCGAGGCCCGGCAGATGAAGGAGCAGCTGAAGGGGGAGCAGCAGGCCCTGGACGCCAAGATGGCCTCCGTCAGCAACCTCAGCCTCAACAACGGCCGCTCCGACAAGGTCAGCTTCTTTTTATTCTCCTTCCAGCGCACAAAGATTTTAAAATCTAGCCAGTCATTGAGTCGTGAAATTTGCCAAAAGCAACTATGTGTTGTTTCCTCTATTATTTTAAAGTTTGTTTAATGCACAATTTTAATTATTTTAAGGTTAAATGAACTCAAATCAATTTATACAGCTGCACAAATTAACAATCTAATTGATTCTGTGTACATTTTGAGTTGGTGTGCATTTCCTAGAGATGTGACGGCTTACCGAAATACTCAGTGTATAAATACATCAGAAAGATCTTCTCAGATCCCGCCTCAGGTGAAATACTAATTGTGTCAGAATTTTTTTTTTTTTCCCCACAACAAATGATTTACACTCAGTCATCCGGAGCTCGGCACAAACGAATACAAACTGCCGCCTTTTATCTCAGCCTCCGAATTTGGTGCGCTAAACAAAAAAATGCAACAGATCTACCCTGAGTCCTCTGAAGTCATCGCAGGCCGTGACCGTCTTCATTGTCGGCGCGCGGTAATTTGTCGTGCCATGTGCCGTCCCCGCCGCGGCATGTAGGAGGTAAATCGGCACACAATGCCCTCGCGCAGCTAAACGGGGCCAGATAAGGTAAAAACCGGAGGCAGCGCGGAGGTAATGACTGCGTCTATGAGGCACACTGTAGGGCTCTGAGAGAGAGTGTGTGTGTGTCTGTGCGTGTGTGTGTGTGGCACAGCGGAGTGTCAAGAAGACAGTAATGTGAAATGACTGCGTCGGCTCCTCAGCGGCTCACATAAACTCTGGGTATTTGTTCAACATATTTGGAATCAGCTGGAGCAGAGCAGGAGTTATTCCTCCTGCTGCTTTACTGTATTCATGTTGATATTACTGATAAATATTGCATTTAGAATCATTAATTAACACTAATATATACAAAAGAAACCACTAAACTAAACAGTATTTTTTCCCCGTCCTGCTCTTTATGGAGTAACATACATTTTGACAATAGCTGTTTAATTGGACAGACTATTTACACTGCAGCCGATGTTACAACTGTAGCAGTAAAACCATTTGAAGCTCTTATTTTCACTCAAAATAAATGTCAGCTGGGATTTAATTTAAACTTTTCAGCAACAAATCTTTCCAGAGTGAAAATGTAGAAAATAATCTTTTGGCCAATTTTAAAGGAGGAGATGATTTAATTCTTTGGACTTTTTAAAACGACTAAATTTGATGTAAATGCTTTAAATGTTTGTTATAAATGATATTTAAAATTGTTTGTATGTATGATCAAGAGGAAATATGGAGCATTTCTGAAACATTGGTGATTCTTTGTGATGTTCTGCAGCCCCGCTCCTCCTGTTCCTCAGCCGCTCTGGGCTTTGTGTGTTGGGATACGGCGGCAGCGTCTCTGACACTTAGAGGATTAGTTTTGTCACTACTTTGTGTCTCCGCTCTCATGTCAGCCATTCAATCCACTTTTCCCATGTACTGTACCCGGGCTTAATGTCAGACTAGACTGTCATCCACTCCGTCTCTGCTCACACACACACACACTCCACAAAGCCAACTGAGAGTGCATATTTAATCTTAAAATCTGAAAGTGTGAGGAGACATTTTGTGCTCTTTTATTTTTTTTTTTGGAACGAGTACTGAATGAGGCTTTCATTAGAGCAAAATGAGGGAAAAACTCCTAAAATATTTCTGATTTACATACAAAATGACTAACTCCAAACTATTGAGGGTTATTATGCATTTATAAAAGCAGAAGAAATTAAAACTGAAATACTTTTGAAACATTTAGAGCTTTTATTCTTCCTCTTCCCTATTTATTCCAATCTATTGGAGGGGAGGAGAGAAATTATCTCTAACAATTAAACAGTGTTGGACAAAAAAAAAAAAATAGATAAAATGCATTTCATTAGCATTCTGCCCTCCCTGCTTGCAGCCACCCGGCTCACCAGGGTCACATGGAAATGGAGGAGGACACTTTCTGAAACATCGTTTTAGAAGAAGGCCGTGTTTTGGGTAGAGCTCCTAATCGTGTAATTAAACTGTAAAACGTTGGCGCTGGTGCCGTGCCGCCTGTGTGTGTGTGTGCGTGTGTGTGCACACACGAGCGAGCATCAGCCGAGCTCCAGCGCAGTGTGTGCCGGCTGCTTGCATTAAGCATGTAAATGCTCAGTAAATCAGCCTTTTATTGGTTGTAATAAATACCCAGGGGGCCGCGCGGCGTGGCCCCGCTCTCGTCCGCGCCGCGCTCTCTCCCTCTAATGCGTCGACCCTCAGGGGCCTCTGCAAGAGAGAGGCAAGCCGCCGCACTCCACTCTCGCAGGTGGCTGCCAGGAGTTGCTACACACACACACACACACACACACACACACACACACACTTAATCAGCAGCACACTCACATAACAGTAAACATCCAAACCGGAGTAAAATCAACATTCTTTTACATGGGAACACAGATGTGTGTTCAGGCTTTTAACATTTCCACATGTCAAGCAGCTTGTCTGTTTGGGGGGAAATGTATATATATTTTTATAACACTTAACAATTGTTCATTTTCACCTCAAATGTCTAAAACGAGAGAGAGAAAAAAAGATTGTAAAGATATGAGAGTAGTTGTAATGGGAGCTGCCAGTCAGAAGTGCAGGTTTGGAGTTTCATTCATGTTTTCCCAGCATATGACTCAGACACTGACCGACTGCTACTGTGAACTGTTTGTGCCGTTTAGGACAAAGCTGCCTTGGAGAGTTTGAGTCAGCAGCTGAAGCAGCAGGCCGACGACAAGTTCAGCCACGCCATGCTGGACTTCACCATGAGTGGAGACTCCGACGGTACACACACACACACACACACAGAATGCCAAAGGAAGGATGCTCACATTCAGAATGTCTGAGCATTAAAGGAAAGATGACTTGCACAGCAGATACAAATACACTGAAGTAAAAATTCATCTTTTATTGCTTTAGCAAAATCTCACTCTGATTTGATTTTACTTGTAAACTCAAACTTTCATTTTAACACTTATTTAAAACCTAGAGTGAGTTGTTTATTAACAAATATAACTGAAACCATTATTTTCATTTTATGCTAGCTTTGAGATTTTGTAAGTCTTTGATTAGTATTCACTGCTCCCCCCCCCCCCCCCCCCCCCAAAAAAAAAAAAAAAAACTCCT